TTCCTTTCAGAACACACATCTCTCCTCAAGCTGGGGACAATGATGGCAGCATGCAGCCACGGTGATGATCTAAATGAAAGGCGTGTACCTGAACAATGTTTGGTGGAAAGAATGAGTCACATAGTAGAGGACTTTGTAGCGTTAAGTAAGTAGAAGGGAGTACACAAATAACAGAAAAAGAATATATATCCAAAAGAACCTTCAGTTTGAGATAAATGGATAAAGACTATTTGGTATATATGCTCAAATTTTAAAAAGTTTGTTTTCTGTTCTTTTTTACATTTTATAGAATAAAAAGTGAAAGATAACATAATAAGACATAAGGCAGTTGTGAAAAGAAATACTGAGAAACTAACAGAATGAAAAAAGGTACTAGATAATATAAAGAATGAATGTTTTGAAATAATTATGGGAAAAGCAACTTTGAAGATATTTTAGAAATAGTAAGATTAGGGTTAATACTGCTGATAATAATGGAACTAAAATAAAATAAACATTTAGGAAAAGCTTAAATAATTCTTCCAAGTATTGAGCAATAAGACCAAGATATTCAAATAATGACAGAGAAATACCAGCGTTACTGATATGCGAATAGTTAGTGCTCCTGAACACAAAATCAGAACAAATGAGAGACAATAAACACTCAGACATAAATAAAATGAGCTAAGAAATCACTTTAATCTGTAGATTAAAGGAGCTCACTTGACAAATAGCGGAACCAATAGAACAGATCAGTAAATAGATACAAGTAGGTATCAGTATAAATCATCAAAGAAAAAAAAATCGAGAAACAAAAGACAAAACTTGATAACCTCTAAAGAAAGAAATCTCAGGCTGACTTTAGACCTCCCCTTTGGAAGATAAAATTCCGGAGCCAGCAGCAACATCAATGGAGATTTGAGTTGTGAGTTCAATATACCTATGCACATACAACCAACCAATATGTGACAAGAGATAGAAGAATACTCAATGGATAATAACTATTTGGCATATTCAGCTGGAAAAATGGGATATTCACATGCAAAAGAAGGAAACTGGACCCCTATCTTACATTGCACTAAAAACGAACTCAAAATAGATTAAAGACAAAGGTAAGACCTGAAACTATAAGACTCCTAGGAGAATGCATAGGAGAAAATCTCCTTGACATTGGTCTTGGCAATGATTTTAGGGATATGATACCCAAAGCACAAATAACAAAAATGAAAACCAACAAGTGAGACTGCATCAAACTACAAAGCTTCTGCAGAGCCAAAGAAATGACCAACAAAATGAAGAGGCAACCTATGAAACAGAAGAAAATATTTACGTACCATCTATTTGATAAGGGATTGATATCCAAAACACATAACAATTTCACACAACTCAATAGCCAAAAAATGAATAACCATTTAAACTGTCCTAGGACCTGAATAGTTATTTTTTTCCAAAGAGGATATTCAAATGGCCAATAGGTACATGAAAAAGTGCTCAACATTACTAACACCAGGAAAATGCACATCAAAACCACAATGAGATATCATTTTACATATGATAGAATGACTATTAACAAAAAGATGAGAGGAAACAATGTGAGTAAGGAAGCCTTATACATTGTTGGTGGGATTGTAAATTGGTGCAGCCACTATGGAGAAACAGTATGGAAGTTCCTCAAAAGATTGAAAATAGAACTACCATATGATCCAACATTTTGGAATATATCTGAAGAAAATGAAACCTCCCTCTTTAGGAGAAATTTGCACCCCCATGTCTGATAGCATTCTGTATAGTAGCCAAGACATGAAGACAACCTAAGTGTCCATCAACAGATAAATGGATAAAGACTATTTGGTATATATGTGCAATGAAATGTTACTCGGTCATAAAAAATAAGATTCTTCCATTTATGACAACTTGAGTACAATATATCAAGTAAAGCCAGTCAGAGGAAGACAAATACTGTGTGATTCAACTTGTATATGAAATGTTAAAAACAAACAAATACATCCCTAGACTCATAGACACACAGAACAGACTGGTGATTGCCAGAGATGGGGTTAGAGAAAATGGGTGAAGTTGGTCAAAGGGTACAGACTTCTAGTTATAAAATCAATAAGTTATAAAGTATAACACAGTGACTATGGTAAACAATACTATGTTGTATATTTAAAAGCTGCTCACAGACTTTTTAAAAGTTCTTAACACACATAAATTACAACTATGTGACGGGATGGATACTAACTAAAATTATTATGGTAATCATATTTTAATACATACATATTGCTTTGGACACCTGAAACCTACACAGGTTTTGTCAGCTTTATCTCCATAAAGGTAAAAAATAGAAAAATGAAAAACGGAATGAGCAAAACTAAAAGAAATAAAAGAATTAAGTATACAATTCAAAAACTCAAGGAAAGAGTAGAATCAGCAGAGAAAAGTGATATTTGAACTCCATGCAGGGCATTGGACAGCCGACACTCCCGGCCTCACCTCCCTGGCTAAGCCTCTCCACTCTGTTTTCACATCATTAACAGGAGGGTGAAGAATTCCTTAGTTCATTAGTCAATTCATCTCCAGAAAGTGCTCGGAGGCAAAGCTGATTACTTTTACTAATAGGAAAAGATTGGCCCTTCCAGAAGGAGGAAGTTATCTGGATGTGCGCCCAAAAATATGTATTCTGTTTTTCAATGCTCAGTGGGAGTTACTCTCATTAGTTCCCCTTCTTTATTGCATTTGGATAAAACAGAGAAGCGGTCTTGATGATGATAAATGACTAATAAATTTTAATTGGCTCTTTAGTGCAAACATACAAATAGTCATTAAATTCAAAAAAGAAAACTCTCAGAATCAAAAGTGCTAAAGTTGCAGAATGTGCAAAAATAACAACTTTAAGATTTTCTGGTTTCCTTCTATTCTCAAAAGTAACCATATAGCTAAAATCCCTGATGGATATAGAGAAAAATTGTGTGTGTGTGTGAGTGTGTGTGTGTTTTGATTAGTTCAGAAATGTGGAGAAGAGGAAATGAATTAAAACAGGTGCAAAATTGAAACACTTCCTCCACTCAATATTCTGGTAAGTGATGTGGTCTTTGTTTTCACAAGCACATGAGCACTGCTATAATCCCTGTGGGACAAAAAAAGACAAAGTATGTTTGAACTCTTCTCTGGTACACTGGCAGCCATGGAAGAGAATGCTCGTTTTAAAATAAGCAACTTGTACTTGGTATGTGTAAGAATCATATCACTCACAGATGAGTAGAGAGAATCCCTGCCTGAAGCAAGTGGCTAGGATTACATAGGTTTTAAAACAGACCCTGTGTGGGTCTCTGTGGTAGCTTTCAGAGCATTTGTCATGACATTTTTCATCATTTGTCAGTCCTGGGGGACCTAAAAGGATATCAGCCAATGTGAAAGCCACAAAAGTGTCTTTTTTTTGATGCAGCAAATCCACGTCTATAAACTTTTCTAAGTAATAAATAATGCTCCCAGGATTTAACTATGAGAGAATATTCATTGTAGAGTTGTGTATAATAGCCAAATTTATTTTGGAAAGATATAAACAGCCAACAATATAAAGTCTAACACAGTGACTATAGTAACAACACTATATTATATTTGAAAGTTATTCAAAGAAGTTTATTTTGGAAATTATCTTTTGGAAAAAGATAAACAGCCAACAACGATTGACCTACATAAACAGGCAATCATATAGGGCAGAGGTCAGCAAACTCATTAGTCAACAGAGCCAAATATCAACAGTACAACGATTGAAGCTTCTTTCGAGAGCCAAATTTTTTAAATTTAAACTTCTTCTAAGCCACTTCTTCAAAATAGACTCGCCCAGGCCATGGTATTTTGTGGAAGAGCCACACTCAAGGGGCCAAAGAGCAGCATGTGGCTCGCGAGCCACAATTTGCCAACCATGGGTCTAGAGGGCTCCTCCTATGTTTGAGAATGGGTAGGGGCCAGCATGCTGAGATAAGGGGCCAGGAGAAGGGAGCCCGGCTACCTGGAGGAAGCACCCTCCGAGCTGGGGTATGGGTGGTCAGATGGACACTCTATGTCTAAATGTCTTTCTCAATGGGAGTATGAAGGACACTCTGTGCCAGAGACTGCTATTTACCTCTGTCTCTCATTCCTCCCTAGGATTGCATTCTGACCAATGGGCCCAGGTCAAAAACAAACAAATAAGCAAACATGCAAGCCAACAAACAACTTCTACTTTGGTTAGAGATGACAAGTGTAATGCAAACAAACATTATTGGGTTGGAGTCCCAGGAATGCCAGCTCAGAGGAGGAGAGGTAGCTGGTATGGGCCTCTCTTATTCTTCATCCCTGCTCTTTCTTCCCATCGGCTGGAATTTGGGTGTGATGGCAGGAGTTCCAGCAGCCACCTTGAAGTAAGAGCCATTTTAACCAAGAGCTGAACTTGAGGCATGATGCATTCAGGCTTCAGCTGCACTGGCCTGTCCGCAAACCCACATTTAAATGTCCAAATCCTGTTTATTATCTTAGGACCTTGTACCACACCCAGCAGTGGTGTCATATGTCCCTTACCTTTCAAAAGCAATGCCCTCTGACTTACGTCTGCAAAGTACCTGAGACTTCACATGTGTTACTGAAGAGAGATAATTCTGGTCCATTTTCTGGGTTCTCTTCTTTAAGCTCATAATGTGGTATGATATTATATTACCACCTCAGTGAACTGTGGAGGCTGCAGTGTATAAAGAATGGAACCTTCTAGAACCCTTTGGTGGCACTGATATTTGTATTTTCAACTTTGTATAGTGAGTTATTTTAGAGTGGAATCTAATGGATATTTCATTGTGTTAAATTTGCTGGAAGAAACATTCAAAACATTCAAATATGGGTTTTATATCCCCATAGCAATTACTCCCAAATTGGCTGATGCCTTTGGGGAGAGAGCCTACCATTGCTACCGGCAAAATAATTGAAAGGAAGAAGCCTTAGGAACTTTGCAGGCAGCTCATTCCTCTCCCACCTGCACAGTTACTTGCCTGTGATGGCCAGTTGGGTCACAAAGAAGGTCATTCTTGACTTCCTCTTCCGCCTCCACGTGGTGAACAGCACCATGGAGTTGCCAACAATGGTGAAAACGAAGAGGACCCACAGCGTTATCAGCTGCTCAGTCTGCAGGAAACAAGCAACACGAAGTGGCGCTGTGAGGACCAGGGTGCCCTGCAGAGCACGAGGCTCAGGCTTCCAGCTGGAAGGTCTTCCTTCTGCCTTCATGTCCCCACTGGCAAAGCTCTACTCTCAAGGGGCCAAGACCAAGACCGTTTGCTCCCAGGGAAGAGGATGGTACTGGGGGGTGGGGACCTGTCTCTGGCCCCGGAGAGGATGAAGGGGCTGTAATGTGGCAGCACAGGCCTGCAAAATCCTGTGGAAATGCAAGTGAGGGGTTTCCCAGGCTCCCCTACCCCCGTTCCTTTCGGGGAACCTGTTTCAGAGGAGAAGCATTTCGATGATGCTTTCCATCCATTTATTTTTTCAAATCACAGAACTCTGTGTCATGGCCACACATTTTCTCTGCCTGAGCAATGGTACGGGAATTGTTTGCTTTCACACTGCCCAGCACTGAGCCAATCTCTGCTGGACGTTTTCAGCCTCAGAGGAAGAAGGGACGAAGTTAGACACCATTTTCCTTCCCGACTCCGTCTTCTCCAGCACTGTCCCTGGCCCTGCAGGCTGCTCTCAGCCCTTGGCCGGGAGAAAGCAGCGGGCTGCGGCTCCTCTGTGAGGTCTGAGCATGTGCTGCAGCTGCTCCCTGGACCCTGTGGAGCGGGACCCCTGAGACATCCTCCCTTCGATGATGCTCAGGGACACTCTTCACATGAGTTCATCACAGCAAGCGCGTCTGTCTGCCTGCCCTGCATTCAGAACCTCCGTACCTTCACCTCCTAGAGTCCTCCAATTCCCCAGCAGGTGGGGGGAGGGAGGTGAAGGGGAGCTGACCTCACCTATTTTCTATTTCTCACAGAAAATTGTTTTAAACTAAAATGGCTCTGAAGGTCTTTTGGATGAAATTCAGAAAAAAAAGATGTGATCAAATAAACTCAGGACTTTTGAATTAGAAGCTACATCCCCCGCAACCCCCCACCCAGGTTATTCTCTCTTCATGCTGTTCTTTCACTAACTGCCTGTGGTTTGGTTTTTAGGCCACATTTCCAGAAAACAACACCATAGAAGGTAACTAGTTTGGACTGAGAGAGAGAGAGAGAGAGAGAGAGAGAGAGAGAGAGAGAGATTGTGTGTGTGTGTCCTGCATGCTGCATAGGTACCAACATTCAGATCCCCAGAAATCTGCATTCTCAAGGAGCCTTTTGCCCCCCTGTGGGAATAAAATGGCTGGGTCTCTAGTCCTTGGACTGAGCAATCCCAACCCAGGCCTACAGTCCCTCCAAAGGGGCTTGGGAGTATCCCACATTGGGCTACCAGTTGTGAGTATCCCCCGTCCCCCCCTATGATCCGTATGGTTCAGGTTCAGGTTCAGGGTTCGGGCTTTGGAGGAGGCCACATGCAAATGAAAGAGACTAGAAAATATTAAATTGGAAATATTGGGCAGGAGCCCAACTCAAGGGGAAGGACTCTGCCCTACTCACGGCCCCTGCTATCCCTTTTATTAAGACTATGGGTGTCATAGCGTGGTCATCTGGAAGGTGTTTCCGCTGTTCAGCTGTTTGGTTGATTTGCATATTACATTTTTATTATTATAGATGGGAATGATCTCAGGAAATATGAACATTTATCCAGTCCAGCGACTCTAGATGGAACTGGGTAGGTCACACCTGTCTGGAGAGGAAGATGTGATTTCCCCCAACACGAGGCATGATGGTTGTCTTTCCCAATGGAATCCTGGAAACTGGGAGAAAAAAATGTCTGGAGGATCTTTCACAATCTTACAGGGGATGGGAACTAACATTATTTGAGCGTCTCCATTCATCTAGCACCCTAGCTATTCAGTTCGCACTATACCGTAGGTGATCGATAAATGTGTGCTGCTGATCCATGGCCCTGTGCCGCACATTGTTTGAAGTGCCTTACTCACTGCTCACTTCGTCCTCATCACCTGGCCAGGGAAAACTGCTGTCCTCAATCAGAAGGGGAGGAAATGGGGCTCAAAGGGGTTACTTAACTGGTAGGTACTCCTGGTTTAGAAGGGATGCTGCTGACAATGGAATTTTTTTTTTTTCTCTTAACTGGGAAGTCCATGACCTGCTTACAATTTGGGGCCAGAGACTGTGAAGTTGCCTCATTTGCTTTCAATGATCACCATTGCTATTCTGACTCCAAACGTGTCTGCAGCTGGGCTTTTGGAACTGGGTGGGTTTTGTGACCATTCCCCTGCCCCCCCCCCCCCCCGAGGCTGAGCCAAAGGGCCGTGCTCAGTGTGTGTTTGAAGGGACTCACCCTGGAGCCGCGTGTGGCTTCCGCATCACAGCATCCCGGATGTCACACCAGATGCAACGACACCACCTGGCCCAGGGAATCAGCGCTTCCCATGCGCCTTACACTTTCATGGTCCCTTTGATGACTAGTGTTATTCCTGTGGTGCTGAAGATAGCATCTCAAACACAGGACAGAGCAAATATATCTTCCCTCCCAAGAGAGGAAATGAAGTCTCTGAAAGGTTACAATTCAGCCTCCGTCCTCAGCGAGCAGGCAAAGCAGCTGTGCTGCCTCCTTGGCACCGGGACCCAGTGCCACCTGTCACTCACAGCACCTGGCCTCTGAAGCGGCTCAAAGCCTCATTGATTCTTGGAGTTGGGTTGGAAATATCAAGAGCCAAGCCTGAAAGCATCTGATTGCACTGAGGATGAGTCACCGTGTAGACAGGAGCCCATGCTGTAAAGCGAGCCTGCAGGAGCGGACTGTAGGTCTCAGGGTTCCATGATTAGACCTGGGGAGGGTGATCCAGGCAGAGGCTCCAAGCCCCCTGGGAGGTGAGCACGTCTGAGCAGGTGGGCGCTCCGAAGGCTCTGTGTTGCACCCCACATGCTGCTTCAGAAGGCACGGCCAGGTGGCAGCAACCAGGACAGCCAAGCAGGCAGCTGGGGAGGACTGAGCTTGCTTGGAGGGCTCACCTGGCTTCTTCCCATGGCCACCTCCTCCCAGTGAGGCCGCTTTCGAACATCTGCATCTTCACCACCCTCCCCAGGAACCCACTGGCTGATACAGTTGAGTGACTGTCCTCACGCCTCCTCTTGGCATTCACCTTTTCTAACTGCTTTACCAAGAGCGATGGGGATTCTATCTTGAATTACCCAGGCTAGTCTTCATTTCTCATATTCAAGTGTAAAAAGTAGATAACAGCCGAAACCGGTTTGGCTCAGTGGATAGAGCTTCGGCCTGTGGACTGAAAGGTCCCAGGTTTGATTCCGGTCAAGGGCATGTACCTTGGTTACGGGCACATCCCCAGTAGAAGGTGTGCAAGAGGCAGCTGATCGATGATTCTCTCTCATCGATGTTTCTAACTCTCTATCCCTCTCTCTTCTTCTCTGTAAAAAAAAATCAATAAAATATATTTTAAAAAGTAGATAATAAGACATTTTAATGGATTGCTATTACAAAAAATGATGTAAAGCAACATATAGGTAGGGATGTGAATGCAAGTATTATGTTTTGGTAAGGCTTTTCATATTGTTACAGGCATGAGGAACAGGGGTGCAGGTGTCAGCCTCTGGCTAGGGGCTGGTGGAACAGGCAGACGGGGGCTCCTGTGTGAGGAAGAGAGAACAGGAATGGGGTGGAACTATCTTGGTCCACAGCCCTGCATGGCTCTGTCGAGGTGGACAGCTGTGGACCAAAATAGTTCCAGATAGTCATGGAGCAAGTCATTCTGTGAACTCCCGTGCAGGGGGAGAGGGAGAGAACTGTTCTGGAGACCATGTCCTATGAACAGGATTATACTGGTTTGCATTATGCATAATTCAACAGGCATTTGTTGAGAATCTAGTAGCAAATTCAAAATACTTTGGGGGTGGAAGGGAGGCTAAGACAGGAGCTCACAGGCTGATGGCGGAGGCATATATGGAGACAAACGTTTTCAATGTGACCTGTTATAATGGAGACTTTGAGAAGAGGCTGAGTATGGCTGGCCGAAAGGTAGATTCTGAAGGAATTAATATGTGGGTTGAGTCTGAATATGTGAGCAGAACTAGCCAAGTTGAGAAGCAGGGTACCTGGCCAAGGTGTGAGTGAAGGCAGAGGACAGAGGGGGCCACCCCTGACCCTTAGGTGTGGTCACTGAGCAGGGCAAGTCTGGTATGAAAGTGAGAACTTGGGCCAATGTCCTGAAAACCAGCTATTTCAAAAATGGGGCGAAGTCCACCCGGGCTCTTTGTCCTGAGTTCAAAGAACTTGTTACCAAGAGGGAAGATTATTTGTCCTCTGGAGTTTTCTTCACTTGTCTTCATGGCCAGAGTGGTCTTTGCCCTACCTCTCAATGGCTCACTGCCTAGCAATTCTCTCCCAGTTTCACCTCCAGGACATAGGAAGCGACTACATCAATACTTTCTATGCTGAGCAGACAGGGTTAGGAGCATCGGATCTGGAGTGTTTCAGCACTGCTGCCGTGGGTCCCATGGGCGATGCTAATTTCCCACGGCCTGCCTGCCCCTTTCAGACAGAGGCAGTGCCTGGGACTCCTTTTGTTAACTGTCTGAGTTTACGCCTGCAGGTGGCTGGGCTACATTTCCTGCAGTTGGCTAGCCGAGAGGCCCAGGGAGAAGCCAATTTCAGTTCAGAAAAATAAAGTTATAATCTTGTTCACTCGAGTTCATAGCAGGAAACAGTCTGAGAACACCAGGATGATGTTTGGAAGCATTCATGGGTGCCCTCTCCCCGCTCCCTAGAGAAAACCTCCCCCAGCTAGGCTGCCAGAGAGCTTATCCCCATGTGCCCTCGGAGAAACCACCCCCTCAGTGCAGGGGAGAAAGAAGCTAGCGCAGCTTTCACATGCTCCTTGGAGGACAACCTACAGGGGAGAGAACTGGTTTTCTCCCCGAGAGAGGCCGAGTCCTTGCCCATTCAGAGAAGACAGCCTGGAGTGAGAAGTGGGGAAGAGCAGTTCCCCCAGGTCAGAGGAAGAAGCCACGGGACACACGAGTGTGGAAGGACACCTCAGAAGG